CAAGAAAAAAGTCAAAAAGTCAACACCGCAACGCACTTCGGTTCACGTTTGCAGGCCGTGTGCATTCAAAACTGGACAATATGATCTGTTTCTGGTACGCGAGCAGAGGGCATGTATATGATCACACGCCATTGGCTGCAGTTTGTGGATGTCGACGGCGTAAAGCCTCTCTCTGGCATGCGTTTTGAACTGGTCACACATGCAGCAGGCGCAAAAACGGCTCTTTTCGGCCCAAAGGCAAGAACGTCAGCAGAGCAATGTGGCAGGGTTGACGTTTTCGGCTCGTGTGCGGCCAACACGACGCAGAACGCCCTGAATTTTAGATACCTGCAGAGGGTTTGTGCATGGCCTAATGATACTGGCCTCTGTTTGGCCAGCAGACGGTGTAGTTCCTCGTTCTGGCACGATCGGGGTGTGACCAGGGGGTACCCCCCCCCAATTCCTAACTGGAAATTATCAGCCGATCCAGTTTGGAAAATGGGCCTATTTTCGAACGCGGCAGCTGGGATCCCAGGAAATATTCGGCGATTTGGAATTTGGGCGTTTGGAATTGGCCAAATTCCTTCGCGCAAGACGCTCAAATAATTATTTGGGCTGAGAAAAGAACCCCCCCCCAAAAAAAAATCCCGAAATAATCACGACGTAAGACTCGGCCTAAGGCTGAGTCTTGCGGTGTGATTATTTCCGGATTGGATTTGGGGGGGGGGTCTTTTCTGAGTCAAAAAAATAATTTGGGCGTCTTACGGGTAGGAAAATGCATTTTCCAACAGCCCAAAATTCAACAGCGCAGTTTCCAACAGCGATTCCGGCCGGCTTGTTCGAAAATTGGCCCATTTTCCAACAGCGATCCTGTTGGAAAATCGCTGTTAGAAATGGAGGGGGGTACCCCCTGGTCACACCCCGATCGTGCCAGAACGAGGAACTACACCATCTGCTTGCCAAACGGAGGCCAGTATCATTAGGCCATGCACAAACCCTCTGCAGGTCTCTAAAATTCAGGGCGTTCTGCGTCGTGTTGGCAGCACACGAGCCGAAAACGTCAACCCTGCCACATTGCTCTGCTGCCGTTCTTGCCGTTGGGCCGAAAAGAGCCGTTTTTGCGCCTGCTGCATGTGTGACCAGTCAAAACGCACGCCAGAGAGAGGCTTTACGCCGTCAACATCCACAAACTGCAGCCAGTGGCGTGTGATCATATACATGCCCTCTGCTCGCGTACCAGAAACAGATCGTTTGGCCAGTTTTGACTGCACACGGCCTGTAAACGTGAACCGAGTGTGTTGCGGTGTTGACTTTTTGGGCTTTTTTCTTGTTCCGCCCCGTGTTTGCTCCGTGTGTCACCCGCTACCAGTCCACAACACATGCCAGAGGGAGGCTTTCGGCCGATGACATCCACAAACTACTGCCAATGGCGTGTGATCATACACAATCGCTCTGCTCGCGTCCCAGAAGCAGAGCGTGTTGTCCAGTTTTGATTGCACGCGGCCTGTAAACGTGAACCGAAGTGTGTTGCGATGTTGACTTTTTCTAACGTTGCCTTTTTTTTTCTGGTTGCTCCGAGCGTGATCAGTCCACAACGCATGCCAGAGAGAGGCCTTCGGCCGACGGCATCCACAAACTGCAGTCACTGGCGTGCGATTATATATATGCCCTCTGGAGGCGACCCAAAAACAGGGCACTCGGTGTCTTGTTGGTCGCACACGAGCCAAAACCGTGAACTGAAGCACGTTGTGACCCACAAAGACCTGAATCGGCCCTTTTTTCCCCTGAGAAAAAAATCTGTCTCGAGGAACCGTAAGACAGTCGTTTGGATCCAGATAATTTTTCCCTTGCAGACCACCCCCTCTCGACCGAGAGCAAAACAAAATCTCCGAAATAATCACGACGTAAGATTCGACCTTAATGGTAAATTATGCCGCGATTTTCGTACTCCGTTTTGGAAAGTTGACCAATCCTAGACCTCCAGAAGCGGCAGTAGAAATTACAGTATTAGAAACGGTTGTACACCCTTCCCCCATCAGAACATTAGCAAGGCACGCATCTCCACAGAATCCAGAGTAGAGAAAGTTTGTGTGTTGTGTGCAAACGTACACATTCAGCAGTAGTTGCACACAGAGTTCAAGGTTTCTCGTCACTTGCACTGCTGCATGTACACGTCCTTCTCTCGCTGTACATCGTTTTACCTACGCTTGGTGCATGGCGTTCTTCTTCCTGCTTGTGTTTGCCCAGTGCGCTGCAGCAGTTCAGTCCAGAGACTTGAGGTGTGGGCGCGATGGAGTCTCCTCTCGCGGAGGTGGCGTCACCTCCCGTGGAGGAGCCTCCTGGAGAGGAGCCTGGAGACGCCCACGGCGACGCCTGGTCGTGCCCAATCTGCTTCATGTGGTTCGATATGCCTGTCTCTCCTCCATGCCAACACACTTTTTGCGCCGGAGTGAGTGTACCAGAGATGTGTTGCAGCGTTCCCACCTTGGAGGACAGATCACTGGCTGTTCTCATTGCAGAAGCCTGGGAGCGGTTTTTGCCAGTTCCAGGAACCACCTTGGGTATATCGTTTACTACATGCCAACTCTGCCACACTGCTGAGGTCATGCCTGCCTTTGAAAAACTATATCTCCATGCTACCTTAAGGCATCCACAATTTGCGGTGCGCTGTTGTTGACAGTGTTTGAAGTCCGTCGTGAGGGCAGCGGCACACCGACAACGTCGAAGTGGGAACACGGGACCTTCGGGACCTGCATGTCCCCTGTGTAGGTGGGTTTGAAATACGAGACAGCGGCCACATTCACTTTGCACTACAACGTAGCTTCTGGCGCCGAGATTACCCTCCGGTACGTCTTGAAATGCTGCTCGACCATTTGTTATTAGAACGGCTCTTTCTCATGTACCGCGTTTCTTGTGCTCTTCGAATAGGGAACCATTCACCCCCGAAGTCGTTCAGCCCTCGGCTCGGATCTTTGAAGAGATGCTCAAGGCGACTGTCACGTGTCGGAATGGCGACTGCGCAGCCCAATTTTGCCCGCTACGTTGGAAGAAGCACCAGGTAAATCACTCCATCCCCGTTGGATCACCCTCATTGCATTCGACGTGTGGTTGTATTCGATGGGTGGAGGTGATCGTGTTTTAGATTTTGATCGTCTTGAATATTTGAATGTTTGCTGCCCTTTTGCCGTGTGCTTTGTCGGTCTTTGCCGGTTTCAAGGGATGAAGCGATGTAATTTGACCAAGACAATATCGGCGTTGGGTCTGCCGGGCGTTGTCGAAGGGGACGAAAAAAGTGCTCATATCATAACAAGACGTCAGACTTGTATTTCCTCGTTAGGGTGATGTACAGTAGGAAGCTCCATTCACCGGCAGTGGCCCGTGAGCTGCAACAATTGCTCATGACATAAGACGTCAAAGCAAGCCCGGACGTTGTCTGGTGGTATGAGTTCACACGAGCAGCAATCCCTGAAGGCCCTGATGAAAACTCGCTTGCTGTTGCATTGCTCTCTTTCAACAGACGGCACAAAGGGGGCGGCACCTCCTGCGGAGAGGCCAATAAGACTCATCCCCCGATAGTTCTATCCCAGGGAACTGCAGCTTCCACGATAGCCTATTCCTTCCCTAAAGTCATCGTTCAGATCCGTATTCAGCAGCTTGCACGTGCTACAACAGCTCATGATCGAGCTTTGCTGTTTCATGTGCCCTTGGCAGGAGGAGTGCCCCTCGGCGGTAGTGCAATGCATGCACCACCTGGTGGGGTGCGAGTGGAAAGGCGCCAGACGGGATCTCTCATTGCACGTGGAAGGATGCGCGTACGAGAAGATTAAAGGCTTGATTCCTCGTGTTTCGGCCTCTCTGAAGCAGATTCACGCACAGGTTCGTAACAACGTCTCTTGGTCCGTTCTTTCTAGCTGCCAGCAAACCGTGCTCCCGGTATGGAGTACGATTGGCCGAGGTAGTAACGCATCTAGTTGGAGTGGGCATTAATCTTGCTTCGAACTTCTTCTGCCTCTGCCCAGGTGCACCAACTAGAAGCCAGAGTTATGGCACAAAACGCTGCCGTCGCGAACACTCGCGCTCTGCTGGCACATCAACGACGAGCCGGATCGGTATTTCCGGCGGTTTATGCGCTTCTTTGGCGCCCTCCCAACTGGCGATTATACCAATCTCCTAGGCCGGTAAGAAACTGAGCGTATCCAGTACCCAGTATGCTCTTCCTTGTGCCTTGATTTCGACATGTATTGCGAATCTAACACTTTGGGCTGTCAGGTGCATGATTTCACACTACGGGTGGTACCTTCTTGTTATTCGCCACACGCCTAACCTCTGTTCCGTTTTTTGTCTGCTTGCTGCAGGGCGGTGGTGTCTTGTCCAACGTGACGCTCATCTGCCTCGCGCCCATCCTTTTCTTAGCTCTGTGTGGAGCTGGGGTGTTCGGTGGAGGCGGTGGGCTGGTGGTGGAGGAACGTGCTGTATGTTTGGTAGGGGTGGCTATTTTGGGCTTTGTGGCACTTCTGGAGCACGACAATGAGTCTCCATATCACGAGTTGCAAACTCCTTCACTGCTCAAGGGCCTGGCAATCGGCGAGTTTTTGCTAGAGGGCACTGCGCGGTCAATGGTTTACTTCGCCCTGAAAGGACTGCCTGACTGGAAAAGGACGGCCGCCCTCCTGTTCCTGCTGGCCCCGCTCTTTTACCCAACCGTTGTTCAGGCTGTCCACCGCTTCGAGGTGAGAAAATGCAACGAGTACAGATAGCGCCCGCACGTATGAACTTAGCAGTTAAGAAAATGAGACTCGAAAAAATCAGAAGCTAAGGACTTGAGCACCATTTGTGAGCCCGGTTAAGAACCCCCACACTAAAACCTATATAGCAGCCATTTGTAGCCCACAAGAGGATGATCAGCAAAATAAGAACCCCAGCCTCGGCCGAAACCAGAGGTTCTTAAGTGCGGGCGCCATCTGTATTTTCTGTTTCAACATTCAACCAGCGAGCTTTCTGCATTTTTTGGCATCAACAACCGACCATCCTCTTGTACGCGCCAGGTGCAAGTCAAGAACGCCCACAACCAGGCACAACGCGCACGAGCCCAACCTCCCTTGCCGCCGGTTGAGCCAGTAGCTGTTAAGACTCACGACACGGTGGTGAACGGAGTTGTTCGGGGAACAACCATGCTTTTGATGAACCCGGTGCCCGCACTTGTGGGCGAGGTCTTGGCCAAACTTGGTGTCTTTGTCGTTTCCGCTGCGCTGGGGCCAGAGAAGCTGGATGCCTTTTTGGAGCACGTGTGGTGAGTTTTCGCCCTCACCCTTCCTTTGAAGGAGGACCTTGGATTCCAATATAGTTGTGGAAATTACGCCGCGTGTCGACGCCGCTAACATCTTTTGGGACACGCATGTTGTAATTTCCAACGGATGGTCGTAGGTTGGTCATGAGCGCTGGTATTGCTCTGGACGACAAAGCACGCCTCAAGAAGCGGCACGATTCCATCTTTCGGGATCTGAGAACGCCACTACCGAACATGACGGACCGCACAACAAGGCGGCTCATCGCTGCGGTCTGCGTGTGCCTGTTCGCCACAATCGTGACCTTTTTCAGGTGAGCACCACCGTTCTGGCTTGGAATTGAAATCGTGTGTATCCCAGCGAACGTTTGTGGACGAAGGGGAGGAGCTGGTATACAGTATCGTAACGATTTCTGAACTTGAATGGTCTTTCGCTTGATTGAAGATTGGTCCCGTTGAGATGCACGACTACACTCAAACCCGAACGGCCGCTCCCTTGTTTCGTTGTGTTTTGTCGTCACAGAGATATCTTGCAAATGGTGGGCTACAGCCGGCTCCTTCTCTCGGTCCTGGACAGCGCTCATTTCAGATGGGAGCTTCACATAGGTCGAGTAGTGATGGGATCACTCCAACAAACGAGAACGAACCAGGACCCCAACTTCGCCAGGACCCGTGCACGTGACCTACTCCGTTCACGCCTGTTGCTGCTGTGGGTTGTTGTGGGGTCGTCATTTTTTCTACTTTTTATGCTGACTTCGTGAGTCCTGTGTCCTTTGCAGCTTAGACTCGGTTTGTTTTATCTACTAAGTTGCTTCGTGTGTCGATAGGATGGACGTTGGTCGGCGTGAAATGTTGTGGATTCGAAACACACGACATCTGTTTGCTGTAGTTGTCGCGGGAAAGCACGCACAAGACGCACATGCTCTTCTTCAGCACTTGCTGTAGGTGTGTCAGGGATGCTGCTAGAGTATAGTTTAGTATCTCCTGTGTACGTTGTGACAATGTTGTTGAAAGGGGACTCACAGCTGTGACGATCGGTGCGTAGGTCAAACATGCGAAGATTTTCGATTTTCCATCTACACAGTCTACAGAAATGAGCACCACACCGAACGTGTCCCTGCTGCTGCTATTCTAACCAGAATCACCCAGAATCACTATCAAGTGTGGGAGTGAGTTATTCTGCAGCGCTTTTACTTGACAAGAATGGATGAGAGTTCAGGTGGGGCCACCACCAAGAAGAAGAGAGCGGGGCTTCCAAATGCCTGCCGAAAATAATCAACTTTGAACAACAGCCGAGCATCATGTACACGACAAGCTCGCCGGTAGCGCCGAGATAAGGATATGGCCATATGGCCTCGACCCAACATCATTGGCGGTTCGAGTGCGGACCTGCACGCATATAGAACCTCCTAACAAGAACGCCATGGAGATTCGAGGCCAAAGCTCGTGTTATTTGAAACATCGTTTTGAGAGATGAATTTGTCCTTTCACCTTGCGCTCCTTGCGCAGAGTTTTCCGAAACTGTTGCTGTGTACGGCTGTACTTGTAGTAAACTGCGGTAGTGGGATGATCGTGGCTTGAACTGGCGACTCGCGTGCACTGCCCATGGAGTCCCAAGTCAGGTCCTAGGTCCCAATGTCCTAATGTCCCAATTTGAGATTTGAATTTTGAGAAGCTCCTGGGCTGGGTAGGTGAGTCGGTGACAATCCCGAATCGCAACAAAAGAGAGTTCTAGATGCCTCGAACTTTTTGGACTTCCGCCGCGTTCCGCGTTCCGCGTTCCGCGTTCCGCCTTCCGCCTTCCGCCTTGGCCTTCCTCCCCATGTCCCATGTCCCACATATACCCAGTCTCTACAGTCCAGTCCTATGTCCCGAGACCCGTACTCCGTACTCACACCGTTCATCCATCAACAACCCAGCTCTTCAGGCGAGCTGAAGGTGAGGGCACTGACGAGGACGAAGAAAAATCAATCTGCCCTATGCTACCTGTAACTCCTCTTTTGTGTTCAGCACGTATCAAGGGTGACTTTTCGCGGACCGATGATTAGACCATGAACAGTGCGTCGAGTAATTGCGAGTGCACGTCCCGCCAGCTCTGAATGTTAATATTCTGACTCTCTGTCTCTGTCTCTGTCTGCGTCTCTCTCCCTGTCTCTCTCGGTGTGCCCCTGTCTCTCTCTCTGTCTCTCTCTTGTCTCCCTCTCTCTCCTCTGTCAAAGTAAGCTCGAATTTGTTTGTTGCGTTGATTGTTGACCGCTACACCCGCCAGGATTTGCGTCTCGTTAGGTACAGCAGTAGGCGGCGCCTGTCTCGTCTCATCCTCTGGATATATCAACCTCTGGATATCAACAACAACCAAGACAATGAGCGGACGTTTGATTATATTGCCAAAGAAAAGCTGGCATCCCGGAAAACGGGAGAATATCGAGAAAGTCCTTCGAGATGAGAGGCTGGCTGCCGAGGAGGCAGCAGCGGCTCGGGAGAGGGCGAGGGAAATTACCCAGGAAGGAATTGTGGAAACCCTGACAAAGAAAAGGTAAGAGGGCGCATGGATTGCACAGGAGGAGTACAACCCATAATCCGCACCCCTTTCCGTTTGCGATAAGAAGGGCTCTGTACCCGTGAGTAGATGCTCAGCGTCCCGTTTGTAGACGTCACTAGGTATTCCGGTGCTGGAAGTAGACTGTAGAGCTTGCGCAAATACTTGGGGACAAGCGGTTCCCGGTTTGTGATCGCTATGCCACATGTACGTGGGCCGAGTTGGTGTATACCCCCCATTTCTCTCATGTACCATATATATTGCAGAACTGCTGTGGCATACTTCATGGAACTTCAGTGTGGGCATCTAGCACCACGTATGTCAAAATAAATGTGCATGGGTGAGCAGGCCACTTGAATCCCACGTGCGTGAGTGATGACGAGCAATAGCTCAAGTCGCTTCAAAACCACCTGAGCGCGAGGCTCCATGACTCCTACGACGACTCGTGCGACTAACGCTATCCGTTCCATTTATAGCATAGTATGACAGCATCCTCCCGGCCCTACGAGAACCATTTCTCTATGCGCAAGGGGGGGCGCCATCTCCACCGCCGATGGAACAACAGCAACTGCTGTGGTTGGAAGGGAAAAGTGTGAACGACCCACGATAGCACCAGCAGCATCTCCGAATTCGAGACCTCGGACGACTCCAACGAGAAGGTCGTGACGGGGGCACCATTGTTTTGGATGGGAAGGGGGGACAGAAAATCTGTAGTGTGGTACGCGGTCCTTTCTCAATATGGGGGATAGCTACATAGTTATCCTACCTCCACCAAGCACGTATGGGTCATTTTGAAGAGCATCATGATGTTTTCATGCAAGCACCACGGTGGTGAGCAAATTTTAACATGCTCCTTCCGAAGTTGGGGGATACTGTATATATGTTGGTCTTTGATATGGCAAGTTGATTAAATTTTCACCACCCAAAGGCGCATCATGGAATCATCGAACACGTGGTGCTTGCATGAAAACACTTTCACGTTCGAAATAACGATTCGTGCGAGAGAATTCGTCCTGGCGATCTGATTGAGAAGAACGGATCCGCGTTTTGCGGTATAGGCTTGCTCTTTCCCTTCCCATCCAATGGAAGGTTACCTGTCCTCTTCACGGCCTTTGTCGCCGAGGTCGGTGAAAACCCGTGCCGGTGCTACTGCCGTTGTCAATGTTGTTCCCTTCGCATCGGTGCTGAGGTTTTAGTGGCGACGGAGATGGGTGGCCCGGTTGGTCATCGAGGAAACCTTCTTCCTGGCAGGATGTTGTCTTGAATATCTTCTTCGAGGGTTTTCCACCCAGCCGTCGTTGGAGTCTTGACGCCTAGCGCTCGGCTCATTTTGGAGCGGGTTGCTTTAGAGCTCGTCGTCACATGTTTGATATTTACATTTCTTCATCAGCTTCGACGACCCTTGTCTCGATCCTCGATTTGGCTTCAGCGGTCTTGACAAACTTGAGGGTGCCTTCAACGGTGGGCTTGGAGCGCAAGCTTTGGCGTCGTGCAAGCGAGGGATGGACACAGAGGGTTGGGGAGGAAGGTGTTGATGTGTGGTGCGATGATGTGGGAATGTCCTGGTGTGTGTTTTCCTCTGAAAACATAGATGTCGCCGTGATCGCTTTCACTCACCGTTCACTTCCGAAATAATTGTTACCATGTTCCGTACCTTTACAGTTCGCTACTGCTGTGCCCCTCAATAATTGGACGATTTGTTACAGCCGCATCCTATATCAGCTCGTGCGTCGATTCACAACAATAGTTTACATTTGTACACTATACAAGTAGTGGATGGGAAAGGAGATATGACAGGGCTACCATCTGCTGGGTTCTCTTGGAGTGCGACGGGCTGCTGCACAGCAGTCACAAGTATTCCCAAACGGGAAGACAAGCCTATACGACGCTTGTTCGACGTAAGGGCATGGTAACACTGCCATGAACAGTGATGCTGGCCACTTTCGCAGTTTGGTTGGTATACGAGGCTCGGTGCCAAGTATCCCAACACGTATCTCGGAGAGAGGTGTGTTCTCTATTTCTGATCACAGTAGAAATCGCCACCAAACCTGACCATTTCGCTGATTTGCTGTTGCAAAGTTGAGGAGGAACTAACGTATCACTTAACTAATTCTCGCCTCGTGCAACTTTATTAATAGGTCGGCTTCCGAGACAATCGAAGGCGAGGCAAACGCGGCCTCAGGGACGCCGGCCAGCCGGAGGCGACGAGGTCAAGACAAGCGACGAAGTCAAGACAGGGACGAGGAAGCTCTCGGAGGAAAGGGGCAAGGCTGGGGAGCTACGCTCCAGCATGTTAACTTGTTCAGTGACGCCGAACGAGAGGCGGGAAAGATCCTTGGGCAGAACAGTGACCATCAGCGCGAAAAAAAAGAGCAGGAACTGCAAAGACAACAGCGCTCGGGGCTAGCTCCCACCGCTCTTGGTGAAGGATCGGCTGAGCTGAAAGATAAGGAGTCCCAACCTTGGTACACCCAACTACAACCACAGTCGACCGCGTGCGTGTCGAAGGTAGCGGCACGCACGGTTCGGCTGGGAAGAGAGGTGACGGGACAAGAGGCGGAAGAGGCCATCAAGAGAGATCAGGGGCGAAAGGGCCAGGCAGATCCCATGGGCTCCTTGTTTCGATCTGGGGCGCAACCGATGCGAGGGAGTCTGCCTTTGGAAAGAAGGGGAACGTCTTACCAGCCGGAAGCGGCCACGGCAAACCTGCCTGGCGCTGCCGGGTTGTGTGTGGATGAAGCCACTTCACACAGCAACAGAGGAAAACACGCCGGGAAGGCCAAGAAAGTCAAGAAGGACAAGAAGGGCAAGAGGGACAAGAAGAAACACGCCAAAGAGAAAAGACATTCCACAGAGACGCGGACACGCAGCGATCGGGATAGATTCGCCAGGAGACACAGCGACAGTGCTGCCGGGTTATCTGGAGGCCGCGCGGATGAAGCGACGGATGCTCAACGTGAACAAAAATTGGTGAGATCACATCAATCAAATTGCGGTGATTTTTAGCGAAGACAGTGCCATCACCTCTGGGGTGTCTTTTTGTAGCCCGCCCCACCTTACCCTTCTTCTTGGCGTGAATCATCTCACGAAAATTTGCTCTCATCGGGCGTGTTGTTGTTGATGTTCGACATCTCGTGCTGCCGCGCAGAAGGATCTGCGTAGCCGACGCTTGGCGCGTGAAGGTGGTGAACGAGAGCGACAGATTCGACTCTTAGCTGAACGGGAGATGGCTGGCCAATCCCTTCCGGACGAGCGAACGAGGGCCTACAACAACCAGTACAACGCTCCTGCTGCTCGGCAAAATAGAATTCGATGAAAAAGAAGAAAGTTGCGAAAACATGAGAAGAGCCGAAGACAAACAAGCTGTTATCAGATATTGCAATGAGTGTTCGCCTGTTCGCTGCACCTAAATAGTCAGCACCTATGTCAACGACGGGAGTCTGTATCTCTCAGGATTATGGCTGGTGAGTGGCTACTCAAAAAGCGTAAGTTTGCATGAGTCTGTCCAACGTGCTTGATTGCGTCACATTCGCCTGCATCACAAGGAAGCAAAATGGCCTGTAGAAGACAGATGTAGTCCTTCCTGTCCATGCCATTCGTCAGCCGCGTTTTCCCCAGCTCCAGCGTTGCTGGTGCTTTCTCCAGAGAAAAACCGAAGAAACGATTTGCGGAAGTTCGTGGCGATGACACACGGAACAATAACTACTGAGCCAGGTTAGAGCCGCCATCACTTGAGGAGGGTGGATTTGTCCGATCCACTGCTGTGAGCCCCACCAGCACGATCACACACCGGCATCATCGACGACGGTGATACAAGTCTGTGTCGCCACGTCGTGTACATTGATTTCCAACAAATTCGACCACACTCTTTGGACAAGGGAACGGCTGAAGCATTCTCGTGATAAAGACAAGGGCAAGCACTACCGAGATAAATAAATTACAAACTCCAATGTGTGGCATTCCTCCTACTACGTGAGTGACGGGTTGACACGTCTAGAACACACAGACAGACGAAACGTAGAACCACACTGACGACGTCCAGAACGCACTTAATTCATAGCATCGAACAGACGACGGAACGATTGGTTTCGATGTCTTGAGCTGCAGTACCGACAAAAGAAAGTGGAGGAGAAAAAATAATTCATCAAGACGCCCTCAATCAGAGGGAAGACGGCTAGCCCCCGAAGGATGGATGGGTGCGGTATGTACACTCGACATGGTGTGCAGCATGTTGTTGTTGTCACGTACACCCCTTTGTACGAGGTGCCAGAGCAATCGTAATCATTGGCCGCGCTAAATACTAATGACATAGGCTGGTCCACCGTGATCGGGTGATCGTGTGCAGCAAGACTGGTGTGGATACATAGAGCCAGTGCATATCCTCAATGTGCTGTGTGCTGTGTACGCGGTTTTATTTAGTCGGTACGCAAATGCATTTCCCGGAGCCCCCCTTGTTGGCCCGTCAAGCGTGTGCGGTGCTGCATACACCTCCAACCGCAGTGAGCCAGCCTGACTTCTGGTAACCGTAACTGCTGCAGTGCACTTGCACGCTTGTCTTGTTCGTTCTAACCACCGTGCTTGTCCTGTCGCCGGACGGGAGCTCAACTCACTTTCAGCGATGGTTCTTCAGACAGCAAGGACGTTCCTGTTGGAGCTCGCGCACGTTATCCGCCCATGGACGCACGCGCCTGCCGGAAGCCAGCTTGTGAATCTGGGAGGCCTGGGGTTGGCTGATATTGGTTCGGTGACGTCTAATGGCCACGTAACCGAGGATCTCTTCGGGCCAGTTTGGTTTGCTGTTCCCAAAAAGAGGGTGAGTCGTGAGCGTTGCACGTTAGTGGAGGATCTACTGCCTTGATGACCTACATCTGCAACCAACAAGATGTTGACTGATTTTGAAAACAAGCGCAAGAGCGCACCAAAAAAGCACACGAGACCCACAAGACCAGTCGGAGCGCATCGGGAAACACAGAAATCGTTGTTTCTCGCACAGGGCGGCAGTAGAGGCTGCTCTAAACAAACATATTGCATATCATGCAGTCTACCTCCACACGCCCCCTGTGAAATCAAGATAATGTTATCGCTACTCTAAATTCAAATCAAGAGAGCCCAGAACGGCACGCGCTCGGTACAATATCTTGCATTCCAACTTCACTTGGCTCATGATGTCAGTAGAGGATACCCTATTGCAGCGGGGGGGGGTTGTTGGCGCGCTCCAATTTGGTTCTTGGGTGGTGATATTGGGGGTCGTACTGCTGTAGTAGCGGCCTACAATCTCCGCAAATGATACCGACACCCAGTACCTTTGCTTGTGCTCGCCGCCACGACCCCATTCTCCTGATCGGCGGGTTTACTGCGAATGCAATTGATGCCATTAGCTGCTGCTGACGACCCGCCGTTCAGGTGTTCACGGTCCCGGGCGGCGAGCACAAGCAGTTAAAAAAAATTGGGCGTCGTTCTAGTTTTGTCTAATTTGCCGAGATTGTAGGCCGCTACTGTGCGTCCGTACTACCCTCGATATTTCAGCTCCAGCAGCACACCTGAACTTTCCACACACGCCGCCTCTTCATGGTGTCCTCTACTGATAACAGTAGTGACGCTAGATTTAGTATGAAAATAGAGCCAGCGTCAGATGGAGATTGGTGACAGTCCCTTTAATACTGCTTGTACCACCCGAAATTCGCGCGTCTGAATTCCAAATGCATTTCGTTGTACGTACGGTGTTCCCGCGCACACCGCGATACACAATATATCCACACACGCTGCGAAATGAACAGTAACTTCCCCGGCGGTGTTTCCTCTGGCAGGTTCCGTTGGGCAAGAAGCGTACGAGGACAGCTGACCGCACCCCAAAGCGGGTTACACATTACAGCTTATGCACTAAGTGCGGTCAACCGAAGTTGAATCACAAGTTCTGCAACAACATCGAGCTGTGTGCCAGTGGAGAACCCTCAGCACGGAACGAGCGATAGTGATGCTTACTTGCCCCTCTTACAGTTTTTGCGTGGAGGAGGAGAATTGGCTTGTCTTTCATGATGGGGTACAACCACGACCTTTGGTACCCTTTCTTGACGGGCGCGGATATTGCTGTTGTCCAGTTTTTTTTCGCTGGGAATGGGGCTCGAACACCTTTTGGAGTCATTGGAACTCGTGCCCACACTGTGCGCATCACCAAGATGCATGTTACGAGCGAATGGATAAACTGGTAGCTGCTACGCACGTAACCCAAGTAGGTAACGGAGACCATGGAAAGAGGCAAGGCTTTCAGATCAATGACAGCAAGCGAGCGGGTACATATACTTTCGCTCTACTACTGGGAGAGTTCAATGCGTTGTCTTGGGAGATCTCTGGGCAAGGTGAATGTCGCCGTTTTGAGTATCTCCGTTAATTTATTCTCCACGGCTGTCCCGTGGCAGTTTAGTATGTAGTGGGCAGCGCTTTCGCTGAACTTGTGCGGACGTGTGGTGCTTGGCTCGTCGGGGTCTTGTAAATCATGTGTAAGCTACCGTGCTGAGCACGACCCATGCAGCAAGTCGCTGCTCTCGTTTGTGTTGAAAAAAACGATCGCCAGGTTCAGGTCAACATCAACGTGCATTTTTCAGTTTGTGCCCCTTAGATTGTCTCGGCCCGACGAAATGCGGATGGTACACTGCGTGCTCGAATTTTGGTATGCTGTCCTGAGCTTGCGAATTCGAATCTCTCTCTTGGTGTTTTGTCTCTGTCTTTTCCCGCATCCTTTGGACGGCGGAAGCCGACGTCCGCGCCTTGCGCACGTATGGGACCATTTACTCCTACAGTAGGCTCCTACGGTTCACAGAAGTTGTCAACGTAGAGAGAGAGAAAAGGGTTTGTGGCACGCAGTTAGCTGATTGGTAGCATGGAACAGCCTGGACAGTCGACCGACCTTTTGTTCTCGGCCCTGCGTATGAACGAAGCTGGTGCCGCCAGAGGCGCACGATACCTGAACTATTGCCTGTGCACGGGGAGGTTGCAGTTTCACTTGAGTGGTTTGTTGTCAGCCCTAGGTGTTCCTACTTGGAGAAGTACACCCATGTTCAAACGGCGGCTGCGTATTATGGCCAAGTTGAAAGACTTCGACCGGAACGACACCTGGCACGCAACGTCCCTCGCATTTGCTCAAGCACATATCCCCGGAGCCTGTGTGAATTGATCGAATGTGCGCGGAGCTCGCCAGTCACTGCATCGTTCTCACTGCTGACGGTGGTTCTTGGAGGACCCCTACAAACTTCTCGTCTTTATTGACTGCTCACAGTTACGCAAACGATTGTCTTCCGAAACCTGTGAACCACGCTGCAAGAACACGAGGTGTCACAAAAATGTTGGAGTGTGGCTACTTGCCGGTCATGGCCTATATTTTTGCCCATGCCACCTTTTTACTCAACACCAGCCTGTTCTCGCTCCTTCGCCCTGTGTAAGCAGGGATCGCTTGTGTGGCACTGTCTGTGATATGGCGGTCGTGTGTGCGGGTACATTCGAATATTTGCATTTTTCTAGAACAAAGTGACCCCGCCGTGGATGACGTCACATTCCGACCAGGGATTTTGGCCAATCAAAAAGATCCCATGAAATTTGGCCAATCAGAAAACTGCGGGCACCTTTCATCTCTCTCTCAACCATTTCTGATCCGAGTACGTCCCAACTAGTCGCGGTACTAGAGGAACATCGTGAGAGACACATGAAAGGGGACCCAGAGCGGTAGCATGCTTTCCCTTCTACCCAAAAGGGAGGGTGTCGAAGCGTCGGTGGTCAAGCCGCACCTCCGACGAGGAGGCAACAGCTATGTCTCTTCTCCTTGTGAAGATGAGCGGCACGAAATCCCGCCATGCAATCTCTTCTCAAGGAATGTTTGGAACATCACGCAGGCCAACTTCCCTACGGTTGCGTTTGGATGGTCAATAACACGTGCAAGGCATTTTGCAGGTTCCTTGGTAAAACTGACTCTAACGTAATTTACATGTTTCGCAATTTCTTTTTTGCTGCTCATGACGGAATGCGTCCCTCAGTTCTCCCGACACAGCGCCCGCCAGCAGACCGTCCGCAACTAGCGGCGCAGGGTGAAGGTTCACAAATCGCCTACTGCGTCCGGATTCTAGGCTGCAACAGCAGACGACTCCTTCTGCAAGGGTACCTGCGAATACGTGAAAACAATCAGAGGGGGCAAGCACGGCAAGGCGTTGGAAAACCTCCACAGAATGACACCAACTTGCGACAATACGTGTCGGTGACGGCAACGTAAAGGTTAGAGACATTCAAGGTGCGAAGTAGTTGACGCAGAACGCTGGCGCGTGGTTCAGTTATGTATGTCAGGTATGAGCTCACCGTGCCCGCAATAGCAGCATCGCAAAGAGCCCGTGCCGCCAGTTTCCCGGAGAAAGTAGCTCCCTCCATACTCGCCAAGTACTTTTGTTTGGTGAAGCACCCAGCCAGGAAGAAGTTAGAAACCGGCGTCGTCTGAACAGGGCGATACAACTCGCGTCCTGCTGTCGCCTCGTACACTGAAAGAGGGGTTTTCACGACGGCTGACTTGAGCAGCTTCGCCCCTGAGCCATCCTTGCTGAGCTGCACCGCAGGCGAAGCGTAAGGGAGTTGGTTGGGTGTGGCAAATCATTGTGTCAACGCCGAGTGCGTTGAAGTAAACCAACGCTTCCCCCCCCAACTTGAGCACGCACATGAGTTCTACGTAGCACGCTGCCCAACGCTGAACGGGGAGATCAAACTTGCTACGTTATCTATGGTGGGCGTTCGGAACATCGTGACACACACGTACCGTTCGAGAGACTCCGGAGACACGAACACAGTGAGCCTAGCAATGCTTGAGGTCAAACGCACGCATCGCTATGCCCCGTGTTGACTAATAAGCACACGTCTGGAGTGACAAGTGGTCCAACGGACGCACGTGCGACACTAATGTTTCTGAAGTCGGTAAATCAGGACAGGAAGATACAAAGCTCACGCACCTCGTTGGGGAAGAGCCTGTACAGCTCTCCCATGGTTGCCTCAATGATGTCTTCATCTGACTTGCCAATCCAGTCTTTCGCGGGGGCAAAAACGAGTTCAAGCATCGACTTGTCGTCGTCACGGTAGCCCTTGCATGTGAGCGACATGTCGGCGTACACTGACAACAGCGGAGACCTGCAACATGGCGGACGGCGGCAACGCACAGGTGGTTCGCTCGACGACCGCAGCCCAGGCTGAACGCTGTGCTCGTCATGGTATTGCGGTACTCAATGCAAGGGAGAAAATCTAGGCAGAGAACGTGCGACCACTTAGTATTTTCAGGAAAGCATTTGTAGAAAGTAAAATTGCACATCCTGAGGCATCACTTTCCAAAGAGAAGCACCCGGAGCACGACACCAGTATAGCTTCTACTACTTGTAAACGTGCTCTAGTTGCACTGGGCTCCGTGCCATGTTCAGCTTCTTCAAACCCTGGCCTGGCCAGCGCCATTGCAAACATGACCACACCACGTGGACGTATACAAAGGCCCGCCCCCATTGAATGTGGAAACGCAGTCCAACGACGCGTGTACATAACACGTACGCTACTCGTGGAACATGTTCAAGTCGATGCATGGCGTCGCTTCACAGTTCGCCTTTGAATATTTCCAAGTGATATCTTGGTACACCACATTGACAATGGCCTTTTTTACAGGGGCACACGACCTGTATTTGTGCACGCTCTTGTGGCAAAGGGGTCGAGGGAATTGAGCTTACTAATGTGTCCAGCAATGCTCAGAGCTGTGTGACGGGGATTGCGTGTTCTCCGCCAAAAGCTCACCGCGAGAAAAGGAGATGGTCCACCGTCGTCAGCTTCCTGTCAAACCACATGTGGATGTTGATCACAGGTACTCCGTTCAGACCGTTTAATTTCTCGAAGTAGGGCATGGGTCTCCATGCTTCGGGAAGCGCAAGCTTGAGGATGTCAACCGGCATGGTCGAGACGTACGCATCCGCCACTACCGTCGATCCGTCTTGCATTTTCAATCCCTTAACCTGGGAGTGGGCGCACAGGCGAAATGGGCAGTGTCTCGATCGCTGAAGTTTGAATCTTGAAGCTGACGGGCCGGAACAGCCAGCAAGTATCTAGCACCGCGCCGAGTATGGTGGCGGTGCCAAGCAACCGACACATTGTCTTCACATGAACAAGCTGTTGATGCCCTTTCCGTATCAAACAGAGAGCTGAACTTCACTACTACCTGGCGCGCTTTCTACACCTCATTGCAAGCACCAGTAACAGCTCTAAGATTTGAAGCAAGAAATGTCGTGATGGGGATCGCACCGTCTTGTCGTCGTTCAGCAAAATCTCAGAGATTCGCTGCTCCATCCTCAATTCTCCGCCGCGGGCAAGCATGTGGTCCGCCATCGGCTGGCACAACCGTGTTGGCGGCGGCCCATCCAAAAACGCCATCTTGGATCCGTGCGTCTCCTGCTCAGAAAGCCAGCCACAGGTATTTCAGGGATATCTCACTCGTTGGAAGCGCACGTAGTCAAGGAACAAATCGTCAAGTTCAAGGTCTCCAACTAGGGTCTCGTTTGCTATACAGGGTGAGCCACACTTGTGGAAGTGCAGTGCACACTGTGCAAGCCGACCAATTACAGCGTCCATCATAAGAACAGTTGGCAGCGGCCGTGCATGATTAGTACCTGGAGGAAACGGTTGAGAGCCGTCAACACAACTGTCATTGACAGATTCTCGGGGTCAATGAAGTTGAGAGCCTTGGCCATAGCAATGAAGACCTCGTCGTTCACACGGTCTGGAACCCCTTGCTTTTTCATCCACTGCGATACTGTGAGCGAATCGCACTCCTCAACGTACTTCTGGCCGAAGAGAATCGCCGGCAGTAGCCCGATCCCAAACTGAATCTTCTCCGGGCTGATGGCCAAGCGAGCAAAGTCAAAATTACAGGGTTTGGGAAGGGCGTCCGGGATGGGCCCAAATGATACATACGGTATAGGGCGTGAACACTCTGGTCTCGATCAGACGCTATTGGCTGTGTACGTGGATCTCATGGTGGACAGTTGGTTCTCAAAACTCGCATTCCAACTCTCCCGCGCTCACTCACGACTATCGTAACACCTAACCGGTGCATCAGGCAATAAGAACCTTACTTACAATGTGAGCATCTCGTTGTTGAGGAGAATAGCCACTAGGCCGTTGAGCGGAGCGGGCAGCAAGGCGGGAAACTCGAAGCGGGAAAATCGCTGGAATCCGTCCGCCGTCTGTTGTCCCGGCATAGCAAAGATCATGCTGTGCGACTTCCACTGCAAGCGGTCCCGAATACCTAGCTCCGTGAACATCTGGTTCACATTTGGGTAGGCACCGAAAAAGATGTGCAGTCCAGTCTCGACCCAGTCGCCATCTTTGTCTTGCCATGCGGCCACTTTTCCTCCCAAAACATCCCTTGCCTGCGCATATAGCCGTAGGGGATGTGGGGATGGCGAGGACAGAAGACAAAACGTCACAAACACAAAACGTATGCCGCAAAAGTCGTTTCGTATTGAGGTTTCCCTTTACACTCAGGCCCCCTGGACCATTTGAGCAACCCGATGTCATGCGGTCAAAATCTCTCGATTTCTTGTTTACATGTTGATAGGGAATCTTTAGGTCTAACCGGACGTTGAACCTGTAGGCTCCTCACATGGCATGTGTCACACACCGTGGTCGATCCAACCCAACCCAACCTTAACCTTAAACCCTATAGCCCACGGACCACGCACGGCGTGGGGGGCGAAAACTGGGCGAGACGCGGCTGCGCCGCGTTCTTGGAATGCAGAACGGCGAGAGGGCCCTGGAGAGGAATCGACCTATAGAACCAACGCCCCACCAACCAGAGGGTGTAAATTCCTTAGTCCTAAAGATCCCCTGTCAATGTGCAAACACCTACCAGTATGTATCAATGTGTACTGTAAGCAGACTGAAACCTCTATGCAATGTGTTGCTGACCATGTTGACAGCTACCGCTGGGTAAGTTCGTAATGTCCAATTCGCAGAAGTGGGAGGTTCTGCGACACCACATGCAGCGCGTCAAAATCCAGTTGCTCAAACTTCTTTGTACACCGCACTACTACTGAGGGACCCCGACTTTAGTACATGAATCCCGTGGATTCCTCAATACCACCCACATGTAGTTTGGTCAAAGGATCAGGTCGACTCAAAATCTCGGTTGCACTTCCCTCGGTAGTATTCAGTACACCTGGTGCTTAAATTTACTACCGAGGGACCCCTGACTGCTGTACACAAACCTGCACACATGGGCATGGGGACACACCGCACACCGAATGCTTCTGAGCTTTGCAGCATGGTGTGTGGTGCCCAACATTCGACGAAAACACGTGTCAACAACGCACAAGGCTCTTCTATTCGTAAGTCTGCGTGTTCGGCGTCTTGGAAAACAGGAGGTGCTGCACTGAGGTGCTGCACTGAGGTGCTGCACTGGACCCACCTCAAGGACGACCGGTTTGTGCCCTGCATCAGACAAATACTTGGCGCATGATAGCCCTGCTAGCCCTGCTCCAATTACGGCAACTTTCAATGGCCGCTCCGGCCTAGGCATGTCGAGGAATGCTTGCGAGAAGGCTGCAGATTCCCGCTGGTTCTCGGAGGTCTCCTCCAACGGGGGTCGGGGATAGTCTTTTCTTTCTCCGGGCGCCGGGAAATCGAAGATCATGGACGAAACGCCATTCCTCCTGATGGCGCTCTGCCGTGCGGAACCCGACAAGCCGACTCCTGTGAACTGGACGCAACCGCGGAAGGAATCGTGGCAATGACTATGCAGCGTGCGACGGGCGTGTGATGAGTGAATCCCCTCCAAAGTGGCAAAATCCACCTGTTGAACATGACACACACACACATGACACAGTAGTCATGTTTTCTGGCGCTTGTCACTCCCTTTCGATCGCTCACTCGAACTCGAACTCACCGACGTTGCAGGAGGAAGCACGAATGCTGATATCGTTTTACCCGCCAATGCCAATGCCAAGAAGGCGCCACCTCCTGCGCCAACCATGTTGCCAGAGGTAGTATTGGCGCTGCTGCAGACTGCAGACACACGCGCAGCCCCCAGCACCCTGCGTTGCGGGGTCGCACATGCAGGATAAAACAAAAAATATACCCCCCGCTTTTCGTGTTCGTGTGACCCCTTGACTACCGTATATGACACAAGATAACACAGCCCCTGGACCGATTTTCAAAGCTCGACTACTCCACGACGAAGAGGATGCATAAATGAAACAATACGTTTTCGAACAGCTCTCGACGAGACGGTTCCAACGCCTCCGTTTTCGGCGCTGTGACTCTTCCTGCTGTTGAGAAATCGAGCTTTGAAAATCGGCCAAGGGTGTGTGTTATCTTGTGTCATATACGGTAGTTTCTCGGTGGACATGCAACATGACATGAATGCAGCATCGTGCATGCAGTGATTTAGTCTCGGAGGGAGGATGGGTGTTTTTTCGCGGATACTATTGCGCCGATCACAGTGTGCCTATCGTGAGCTCCGTGTGAATTATTTATTTTCCACAGCAGTTCCACAGACTAGTACAGCTGACGGTATCCTCCGCCGAAAGACTTTTACCTACACTTTTTTTTTGTTGTCTTCACTTCAAATCAGCGCTCACAGCACTGTTAGTGCCGTTTACTCCAACCCGTGGTCACACAGAAGAGCCCCTCTCTACCCTCCCCTCCTGCGGTACTTTGCCTTCGATTTTTAATGCGAGAAGAGTTCAGCACTCTCTTCCCTCTGTGTACACACGAACTATCGCTATCCACTAGATAGACCAGGAGCGGAAGCGCGAGAAAAAACTGACTTTTCAAGAAAAACTCGCTTACGCCGGGATTCGAACGCCTGACCTAGGCGTCTGACCCCTAGAAGGTTTCGAGGATACCACCTAGACCACCGGGGCGACCGGCTATTCATTACAGACGGACTGATTACTCCGCCTGTAGCCAGTGTACTCCACTACACAGCATGCTCCACACTACTCGTTTTGGGCAAAACGTTGCACCTCTTCCGCTCGTACTGCTGTCAAGCCCGAACTTCAGCCAGTCAGTCTGGACTTGCAACGCGCACAATGCGCACGAACTTCATCATGATATCATGATTCAATGCTGGGCAGGCGGACCGAAATCGTTAGACTAAACCTTATAGTACCAATGACGAATAACTTGCCTCTGCCTCCCGCGTCTATTTTTTTGGGTGTGGGATTCCGGGTTACGTCCTGTGATGTTCATCCACTCAAACCAATACACCAGGGACGTATTCATGTTTAAAGCACACTCGGGCGTGTGTGTATCCTCCAAGCAGGCCCCACTAGACTGGCAAAGGACAGTTCGATCCAAGCGAAAAATCATCGCGTGGAACTCTAGTATCAAATGAAGTGAAGGGGGGGTATAGTCTAGAAGCCGGACCATTCGACTAGTCTAATGGTTTGATTTCGGCTTCTAATTTATAGGTATCACGTCAAGGACGTACCTTGGACAAAAAACATCATTGAAGCTTGCAATCATCCATCTCGGGTCATCTCACAAGAAAAAATCCCGTTGGTTCGACCACAGCCGCATCTCACGTGTGTCCACCTTGCAAAAAGGACCAATCTGTAGCATCATTCATTCCGCCGAGGAACGACATTGACACAATTCGACCACACGCCCGCAAAGGGAGAGTGAAGACACACGAGCGAGGGTTTCTTCACATGCAGCCTGTGGGGTTGTTTCTTGGGTCGTCGCTTATCGAAGCGCCCAGACTCCTAGCTCCATCACGCTTAACAAGACGTGCACTCTAAGGCACTGCTGCAGTCGAAGGGCATGAGGCTGACAACAAAAGAGTCTTCGCGCAAGCGGAAGACAAGTGTGACCAGATTTTCCTGTTTGGAACGATGGTGGATTTTTAACTCTAGATCTATTCTTCAGGTTGCCCTGCAGAGACAGCGCAATGGATAGCTCGGGGAGCATATCGGGCGCGTAAAAACACCTACAGTACAAATTTCCTAGGACTCAACGCCCAAAGGGCAGAAATTAGTCTAACTGCCAGCTCCTGCTTGTGGGGAAAGCATAAATTTACAAACCCGTGGCATCTGATGCGTCATCGGCATCACAAACATCTCCGTCATCTTCTTCGTCTTCCCCCTCGTCGTCCGCTGGTCGTGCCTCGCCCGCAGCCCCACCCGCCTTTTTCTTCTTCTTTTTCTTTTTCTTCTTCTTTTTGCGAGTTCCCACGGGCTCATCAGGTAACCACACAATGTCATCTTCAAAGCCGAGCGCTCTAGCGTAGGCGGATCTGGTGAGAGTATGCAGAACGAAGCACGTGAGGGAACACGCAGCTCTTACGAATCGGATCACACAAGGGTACCTCAAGAGCTTCGCGTGTTGACTTGACCGCGTGTCGCTTCCTCTTCATACTTTCCTTCCCGTTCCCACTCTCTGCAGACGCGAAAGAGATACTAGACTAATCCCTAGAGCGCTACCTAATCCTGTGCAAGATTTTATTGTGAATTGAAACCTACGCGACGAGAGTCGTCAAGTCGCAACGGACTTACCCATGGTCGATTCCTACGTCCTCTGGAAGCGGCTGTTGTCCCAGAGCCTCTGGCCCGTTTGCGTAATACTGAGGCACCACGGGCACCTGTCATCACCCAGAACACAAAAATTTCGAGAATACCATAAAAAATACATGTAAATATCATGATCATTTCAAGCATATGATCGGAAGGGTACAGACCGTAAGTTCTTGAAGAATGACGCCAGAGTATCTATGAGGAACATACCCTTCGGATAATATCTTTTTGAGGCAGGCTCGAATTCTTAATTATTCTGTGGGTAACCCAACAGCGACTATTGGTCATAGTGTGGGGTAACTAAGTTTATCTTATATTGAGACACCAGGTTCTTAACTCCAAGGTAGTACTTGGTGGCGCGTTTTGTTGGGGTTTTCCACGACGTAAACGATGCATACCGTTCTCCAAGACTGCTGTTGCTAAAAAGCGCTTTCCCGGTCACTAGATGTGCGGCTAAGAAAAATACGTAATTACCAGCACACCAAGAATACTGACCTCAAAGCCCAATCCAGGCCTTTGCTGCTCAAGCGTAGCCTCCCGTAGACTTCCCAAGAAATTGCGCCACTGCTCATGGGAGTTGAGGTAGTTCCGAAGGAACTCTGTCGGGGGCATTGTATCTGCCTGGAGGCGAATGGCGTTGCAGAGCTGCAGCACAAAACCCCTGTTTCCAGCACTCTGCGCGGGAAACATGAGGGATCCAAGTGAGGGACGATGAGTCTGGCCGCATCTCTGTACTGCTGCTCGCAAGAATCGCTTGTCTGCACTGGAAAACGTAGAAGGCATGCCATACACAGCGCCAACCCCCCGTGTGCGTTCATATCTGACGGAGTGGGCTAAACTCACCTTATCGCCGTCTGCGTGAGAGTCCACGAGGCGCGCCACCAGTCGCCCCTTCGATACCACCATCCGTAACGCGCCAACGTTGTTGCATCTCAGCACCTTGAAAACAAGCTTGTAGAAGATGCTGTGGTACAGGTTGTTATGGGGATATCGGAAGAACCAGCTGCACAACGCCTTCCATAGCTCCACTGGCAGGGCATCCAGCTGCTGAGGATCTCGATTCACGATCTCATATACAATACCGACCAGGACATACCGAAGCATCGTGAACGGACGCTTCACTTCATACCCTGGATGTGCCACTGCTTCCGAAGTCTCTTCCGCTTGCCTGCCTGAAGGCAGCCGGTTGCGGCACACAGAGAGTTGGGTCGGGATACTGGATGGGCGGAAAGATGACATGGGGCAACCTCGTGTGCTGGCAAGGTTAGAATAAGGGCTGCGAAGATGTGACATAGTGGTCTCACAAAGAGAGGTGGTTTCAAGGCCGAAAATACGTCTATAAAACACCAAGTCATTGCATGCAAAAACACACGCCTGCAAATTTGGATAGATTCCATCGAAGAAAGCAGCTTGATACCAGCTAGCATCCAATCCTGTCCGAAAAAGTCCACGGGTGGCGTACCTGGACCCTTGTCATCGCAGTTGGAGACTGCGACGCAAAACTTCGGCAACCAGGTTCGTAGCTGCTCATGAAGTAGCTCTCGCACAGAGCTCAGTCGATTTGGAACCACAGTAGTTGTTGGTTGCGAGTCATACATTGACTGAACGACGGGAAGAACACACGAGCGATGGCAGAACGCGAAGTAAGCAAACATGCTCATTTCATTAGGACCGAATCACTTTCCAAGTTGCTCACACATGGCTAACTACTTTTTGGGGCCGGAAGGGAGCTGGCCATAGCAGGCAACCGCACGCACCGTGCGTGCGTTGACGAAGACGATATTCGCGTCGGCTGCCTTTTGCGTTATTCCCAGCAGAGTTCGTGCGCTATCTGTCCGCCGCTCTAGTGGAAGACCTTGGTCAACCGCCATGGCTGCCAGCCCGTCAACCAGTTCCTTGCAGTACCCAATGGGTTGAAGCAGCAACTCCCCATTGTCGTCGGACGATAGTCGATCCACCACCTAAGGGCGAATTGATGCGAGTGGTAGTGATGTGAACCATACACGAGGGTAGAAGCATGCCGTCATCGCTAACCGAGCAGGCACGACACATGAGAGTTCGACTATGCATCCATGTATCGCAAAACCGGCCAAGCGACTAGGCAGGCGCGCATACCTCGAGGAGAAGGTCCGCACACGCCGAGGCGTATGAATCGGAGCACTCTCGATCGAAGATGTTCTCCGCAACCCGCAGAAGAAACCGCCAGTCTGCAAGACCAGAATACAACCGCCACTTGCTTGGTGCCGATGTCTGCGAGTAAGTCGGTGCGCGGACACGTATGATACATATCAGGTCATGGCTCCAAAGGCAGCAGGTACTGAATTTCACGCGAATAAGGCGAGCGCGAGAGTTTTAGCATTTCGCCGAAACACAGAAGCGTTTACCTGGTAGGTAGCAGCTGCGCCTGTCACCGCGCCTCCCACCGATGGAAAGGTGAGTAGTTTGACCATTGTTTCAGAAACAGGCGAGTACTCTGCCCATCGAAGCATGGGTCCTAGATGTCGTTCCAGCGATTCGCGAGATCGCCCCAATGTCTCGAACACCTGTAGCATCATGAAAAACGAACGGCGCCGCGGTTGCAGTTCGATGCCAACCTTCCGCACACTTGGTGTATTAGCAAGGCCGAATGGGAAAGGCCTAAGCAAGTTGCACCTGGTGCGAAACTGACGCCTCCTACAATGCGTACCTCGTCTGCATACGACCTCAGCAGGTAATCCAGCACGCAACATGCGTGGTGCAAGCTCCCTTTCGCACTCGGCCAAAAGACCTTGAGAACAGCAGCTGTTAACTCTCGTGCCTTCTTTGCCAAGAATGTCCTGTGATTATCTGAAGGTTCACTGTTTGCCAGCAGCATTGTAGCCCTGACAGCAGACGATTGAAAAAGTTGGGATACATAAGACACAGCAGTACAATATATGTTGTCGCCAGTCGCCAGTAATGCTCGTTTTGGCTCCTCTACCCTGCCGAATCTGACGCACTCTATGCCCTCGCCTACTGCAGTAGTCTTGCAACCGTCTGTTTCTGCTGGAACAGCGCTGCGTCTTGGCGCATACACTTACGAGTTGGGAATAAACAATCTGTATGGACCGCCACCAACCACACAGACATACACAGACATCATTTTGTCGACGTCCTTTCTGTTTATTGGGCAAGTCAGTCACCATGCGCGCCATTCCCGATTAAACTCTCGTTAAGAAGAACAAAATCAGCGAGATCGATACACAACCCATTACAATCTGTCCAATATAGTGACTGATCATTCTTGGAGGATAAACGCTTCAGCTTCATATTCTGCACCAGTGGGTTGTGATGTTGTGAAGATGTAAACGGTTACAAATCAAACGGGCGCAACGATTGCTCACCGAATGTCGTAAGTAGGCGCAAGTGCCACTATGTATTGCTGCATGTGAACTGGAATGTCAGCACACGGCATTTTTCATTCCACAAATGCACACATACACCGACCGGCATCATTGTTTGGGCGATACGCACCGTCGTGCTGAAAAAATAACGTCAGATAGCACCTCACCGGAACGACCGCTTCAGCTGCTCAGAAACCTCATCTCCAGGCTCCGGTCGCTTACACAACAATCCCTCGGAGCCTTTACGCGGGCTTTTCCGTACCTCGTCCTCCTCGCCGATTTGTGAAATGAACGTAACGTACAACTCGCAGGCTCCATCAACTGACAAAAACTGGATCATCTGGAGAAAGCACCGTACATACAATATCAGGCGGCGCACAGGGTCGTGTGAAACGGAATGTAGGACCTTCGAGCAGCATGACAAATCTCGTCTACAACGGTACATACGATGTGCGGGCGATCTTCATTGAACAGTGAATCGATACGCGAGGTGCGGGAACAATTCTCGCGTTAAAAACCTACATTCCGTTACCGCAACGTAGTACAGTGCACAGGCAAGAAGCCACACTTGCTCTTGTTGACACTCCCCTGGTTGATTGCCGCAGAAACGAGGATGTTTCTTGGTATGTATGCTGTATCATGCATACACAATCATGTCCCTTATTTCTCCGAGAGCGGTTGTCGCATTCACGCATCAAGCCGTTTCATACTCGACGTGCAACAAGGCTCGAGATGTATGTCAAGAAACCCGCGGACGCGGGGATCACCTACCACGATGTCAAATCATGCTGGTAGCGCAGCCAAAGCCAATTGGTCATGGGACGCCGGGAGGTGTGTGGGGGAGCACCACGGACGATGTTATCTAGAACCGTTTTCACGGCGTCAAGCAGTACAACAATGTATATCCGCTTGCTTTCACGATACCTTCTCAGTCATGAAAGGCTCGTCCATATCCAGCATGCGCGCAATGAGAATTTTGTCTGCTCGCCGTTTCTCCAAGAGTGCGTCTGACCCACGCACCGCAACAGGCGCAGCGTCTGCCTGCTCCTTGCCGAAGAAGACGTTCGGTTGGAACAGGTGGGCAACGGAGACCGGGCGAGATGCAAGACGACAGTAGCAAGTAAGGTGAGAGGACCGCTACATACCAGCAGGACACGCAATTATACATTCTTCGACGCCAACCACGATTATGCAATCCAACAACAGACGAGCAGGAGAACCACACGGCGTCGACGCTCTACACGCAAACTATTTGGTTAGATTGCCACGGGCTCGGCAGTACAGGGACGGACAGTTATCCAGCACCAGTCTCTAACGTGTTCTTGCAACCTATGTTCATCATCGTTCCAGTCAGGTTGCCCGGCCAACCTCTGGCGCCGACTAGAGGCCTCGCGCGGAGGAAACACAGAATAATCTGCTGCTGTGTACCTGCTGTGACTAGTTTTGGTTTCCTCTGCATATAGAAGTACTCCCTCCCCACCGCAGAGTAATGCTCTTAGACTCACTCCTACCGAAGGCAACTACGAAAATGCAAATTATCGCTGCTGTTGCGTGGCAAGAGAGAGCGCACGCCCTGTACTCGATGTGTAGAACCCACTTTCATCCGGCTGGCTCACCTGAATGGCGTCGCGAGCGTCATTGTCCATCTTGGCCCCACCATTCACGTACGCAACAGCTGCTACCATACCATTCGGCTGAAGCTCCATGGGTATAGCTCTCAGAAACGAGCCTCACGACGCCTTGCACGTCCTGCCGTCGTGGCGGTGGTGAGGCACGGCAAGCAGCAAGACACAACAAGCAGCACAGCAAGACAGCAAAGCTCGGGGGGGCTCGTGCGCTAAAAGTAAAATGCGCCCTCCCTGCCGCACGTTTATTTACACTTTGCGGAGCTACCTACACAACCACCAACCGCCAGTGGTGTTCGTCAGTCGTTGTGTCGCTGACGTCAGTCGCTGGTTGTTGCGTCAGTCCGTGTCACGCATGCACTCGTGTATGTTATGCACGTACGAGTGATAGGCACACTATTTGCAATGAGTTGCATAATACATAAAGCCTTTATATGTCAACAGTCATAGAACCAAACTAACTGTGAAGCAATCACCCCAATGGCGCGGTCAACAATCGTTGTGGTTGGCACTGATTTTTTTTCATCACGGAGAGCGAGTCCATCACCTCGAATCGTGCCTCATCTTTTTTTCCAACTTTAAATAAATATGACCAACGATTCCATCTCTTCTTTTTCGTTGTGAACGTATATGCATAACTACTCATAATCTCACAGAAAGACTACCCGTTCAAGATTCGCGATACGAGCGCGGTCGAAAGGGATGTTGTATGTGTGCTGAAGTTTTTTTCGTATGTAAAATATGTATGTACAATGTACAACAAATAGGTCGCCCAAGCAAGGTGGTCTATCTAGTTGGTACCTTTGAAACCTTCCTACCGTATATTAGAGGTCGTCAGGTCAGGGGTTCGAATCCCGGCGTAAGCGAGCTCTTCTTGCAAAGTGAGTTTTTCTCTCGCTTCCGCTTCTGGCCCAGTGGGTAGCGCTAGTTCGTGTGTACACAGAGGGAAGAGAGAGCAGAACTCTTTTCGCATTAAAAATCGAAGGCAAAGTACCACAGGAGGGGAGGGTACTAGAGAGGGGCTCTTCTTCTTCTTCTCGTGTGTGACAACGGTTTAGAGTAAACAGCACTAGTGCTGTGAGCGCTGATTTCAAGTGAAGACAAAAAATGAAGAAATAAATAAATGATATGCAGATTATTAAACCTATCAACCAATCATCACCAATCAATTTATTAATGTTTCCTTTAGTATTTCTGTACTCCAAAAGATCAGATTGTCACTTGAGGAACACTAACGACAGCGGTAGTATCACGTGTTCAAGAGGGTGTCGAGAGAGACGCGGTAAACGAAACGGAACAATTCGACGTGTAGGCAGACATGCATTCATACAGTAGAGGGCCCTGTTTAATGCCGGGTGAATAGTGCCGGTGCCCGGTATAGTGCCGGTGTTTCTGGGGGCACACTACAGTAAATTAATTCCCAGTCATTCAATACTTTGAATACTTTGAATAGTGCCGGTCCGGTATAGTACCGGTGAATTTCTGGACACATAACGGCACTCACTAAACAGGGGCCTCTGTTGTATGCGTATGTAGGAAAAGGTCAAAAATGGTAGCTGCATACATACCGGTTTTGGAGACGTTCTTTATTGGTAGTTTTCCCGGCGTGTCAACGGGTTTACATCCCTACGTATATACGTCTTGTTTGGCGTTTCTCACAGCAGACTTTGCCTACCTACATATTTATGGCAAAACATCGTATCGTGTGAACAAAACATGGGTACGTTATACATAGCATCCGCGACAACCTCCAAAAAAAGTGACCCCTCAGCCCCCGTTCCGCCCCCAAGAATGAACGTACTTTGCGCGCACCAGGGGTGCACAACAAAAATGCTGTTGATGTGGCCCTCGCCACGAACAGAGCCAACAGGTAATACAAGACGCTCGTTTGCCTCGGGCGTTGTCCAACCCTGGCGCAACCGGTTTCGTCATAGACACGCTTGCTTCAAGTCGGCTACACAACAAGTACTGTTTGCCTCAACACAGAAATCGATGGAGTAAAGCTAGCCTAAGCATCTGTTCTGTTCCGCGGCGCCCTCGCCTGCTCGTTTATTACCAACTTCCCCCGGTGCGCTCCAACTCTTGCACGCACGTCTCTCTCACACACACTCACGTACGAAGGGTCATGTGAAGTTGGCAACACTGGCCTCGCGCATGGTCATCCATAGGATAGCATCAAGCTGCTGGGGACGGCACACACCACTACTGCGTACATGGCTGATTTTCCTCTCGTGGAAAAAGAAAACGGGCGGGGCATCTTGACTGCTTCCACCTAGTTAGCGCGTTTCACTTCCACTCATACCATACCCGAGGGAACCGAAAAACGGATTCCGTGATAGAGGCGGTCAGCAAAAAATGCAGAGGTGCTTTCACTCCATGAAAATGATGCCGTGCCTCTTCTTGCCGCTGGAGAGCTTCAATTCGTCCTTCCCGTCGAATGTAGACAGGTCTACAACGAAGCCCTCATCCACAATCTTTTGGTCGTTCAACTTCGCACCACCACCCTTGATCAGCCTCCGCACTTCACTCTTTGTCTTGGCCAGCTCTAGTCGAATGAAGAGATCGACAACGGCCATACCAGCTTCGGCCTCGGCGCTCTCTATTTTCGCCCTGCATGGATATACGCATGCGATGGGTGCGGGATTCGGGAAAGGGGAAACAGAGGGACGGCTACATAAAGAACTTCACACAACGTTTCGTTTTGAGATCAACGCACGTGTCTCTCGGGCGCTTCTCTCAGTCGCTCACATCGCAGCACATCACACGCTCCCGACCGCTGATACAGGCCGGCAGTTGGATTCGGCAATCTTGCACTGTTTTCTCAAGAGCATTATATCGGGGCCATTCAAGACATACTACCATCAGATCGCTTACTAGACTATTTCGTGCTAACTGTCCGATCCCTGCCAACTCGACGATCCATGTGACAGCAGTGAACAATGTTACAGCGGCCGTGTTGTTATACACAGCTACTACGTGCGTTTCGTACAACAAGCGAAACACACACATACGGTGCAACAGTACGGCGGGGGATGAAATGCAGCGAAGCACAAGGTTCAACCATATACTACGCGGTGAAAACATAACTTCCGCCCAGGCCTGTTGTACACACAACACACGCACTGCTGTGTCATTTCAGAGGGTGCAGGCGCGGAGGCGACATCCTTAGAGACCAGTGGTGATGCTGCTGCTGCTGCTGCACAAAAAGGTCGTGGTACCGATTCTGTGTTTTTCCTGTGTTGCCCCCAGCCTCTAATTGAAGAGGATCCTGACTTGGGCAGAAAGGAGAAATCGCGAGATTGGGAGTATCTCCTGTCAGATAGACTTTGGCAGAACCACGGGGTTGCACGCTACTGCCCCGGCTGAAACACCGGGGTCAATCAGCATAGGAGACCACCGCGTGGGTACGCAAAACACAAGCGAGGAAGGAGTACTGTAGAATTGGACAGCGTAGGACGGTTGCACCTAAACCACACGTGAAAGAGACAAGCACCGGACTGACAAAAAATGCCAGAGAATAAACAACGCGACAGTAGAAAACAGATGCCAAAGGGAGAAGAAGGAGAGAAGGCCGGGGTAGACGTGAGCTTGCTAAGAAAGCGGCACATGGCTGCCCGGGCGACACAGCGTAGCCACTCCACACGGGTTACAACGTCCGGACTGCGGCCGTAAAGGGAGCCGAGGGTACGGACGAGACTACAACGTCTTGTACGAGGCCAACGAGGCTTGGCATCTGTGTGGCATTCTACGGCTGCAGGAAGCAAGGAAGGCCGGAAGAACGGACTGTTCAGCAGCAGGGTTCAGGGTCTTCTGCTGTGGGAGCGAGATAGGCGGGCAACCCGGCGTGGGGCTAGCCGTGAAAGAGTCGATGTGCAGCACCGCCACCCATACTACCAAAGTATGCTGACGAGCGCCTGATGGCCATGCGGTTTGACGTGTCGGGCCAAACCGGAGCGGTAAACTTCGTACACACCTTGGCAACCAAAGGTTCACAAGGGTAAAACAATCTAAGCGTTCTGGATAGGTTCGAGAGCCTCGTACAGCGGATCCCATCAACAACGTGTGTATATTGCCGTGTGCCACGGCTGCTTCCCCAATTGATTCTTATTTCAAGTGCCGTTTGTGTCTTGGTACGATGGCGTCACGAACGGGGGGGTAGAAAGGTACTACAGAAGTGTACTGATGCTGAACACTCCAAAATCCTCCAGCCTGGCGAACCAACAATAACCCATCTAAACAACAGAAAAGAAAAATGGCCCGCATGCATACATTTCGACCAGATCTCTCTAGCCGGCAAGACACATGGCATATAACTTTTCGAATGCCCCCACAATCAATCCCTGTACTCGTTCGTGGTGCTTCTTCAAAGTTTGCTCTGCACCACCATCAGTGGTTTGGTTGTGAAAAATCGGGCTCAAAATAAGTTGCCGCCCGGGAGTATATATATCATATATGTACCGATAAATATGTGTACCTGGCATATATTTGAAAAGTTTGCCTCTTGCTATGCATCTCCACGTTCATTGCGCTGATCCATATCGCGTGTCATCGCAATCTGGCCAACAGTACTTTTATTTTACTCTTCTACACTTCGCAGCGGGCCCAGCGAAAAAAACTGCTGTTGTAAACAAGTCTGGGCGCATACACCTACGGTGTTGAACATCTTGTGTGCATTGTATTGTTTCGGATTCGAATATATTCGGGTCTCGTTGGAAATCTGCCGTCGCAAGAGAAACATCGCTGAAGCTCATTTTATCGAATTCTCACTGGCAACTGGCTGTTTGCTCGAGCTGGCTTCAATGTACGGTACGTGCGCGATGTTGTTTGATAATAAATATGCCCACCAATAGTAAGACACACAACCCTTCTCTGGCAATGCGCATGCATGTGGTAATGCGTCACCCGCGGGAGGTTTGACACCCACGTCCCTAAGGGAGACCATGTACATTTTACGGATGTACATACGTGAAGCATGCGGTGCGGGTGTGGTAAACAAACCCACAAAAATCCAGAAAAATGGATGCAACCAATGAGCTCCGTTATTTTTATCGAGACAGACAAGGCATGATCCAAGAGCGAAATGGCACAATGGGTGGCCGGTTTTACGTCAGGTCAGATCATCACGAAACTGGTGTGGTAGTTAGCTCT